AAGTCAAAGGAAAATAAGTAATGGAAAATCTGTGTCTTTTTAACTATCTTTATTTTGTATTTTTGTTATTTTTTTCATTTTTATTGTAATATTTTAAAAAATCTTAATAAATATCTTATAAAAAAAATAAAATAAAGTAGAACTAACTGATGATTCTGTACTGTGAGAGGGATTGCACTAGCAGGACGACATGCAATAAGTCCTTCTAGTGCAAAAAAGTGTTCCCACTTCTTCTTACCCTGTGTCCCACCCTCAAAAAAAAAAAAAGGCTCTAGGGAATTGGGAGAACCCGAGAACCCTCAGAACAGTGCAGAGAACATGGAGGTGGGGAGAGATGGGAAATCATTCCATCTGGCAAGCAGAAATGCTTGCATGGGCAGAAAGATCATAATAGCATGAGGTTGAATTCTGCTCAGTGACTCTTTCCCACTCTCCCATGGACAAGCAAGCTCTGGGGAAACAGCTAGATGAAAAAAAATTGCAGGTAGCCCCTGGTATGTCTGTCTCTCTCTCCTCCAGCTCTCTCTCACACGCACTTCTATATGTGGACAAGAGAAACAGGGTCTGGACCGCTGCTGGCATCCCCTCCTGCTACAAGGAGGCAGGCAGCCACCTGGCAGGGTGGGGGCAGAGGTGGAGTCTACTCAGGAAGGAGCACTGCAGCCATGAACTCCTGAGGAGACAACATTTGTGAGGAGATTTCTGTTAGGATATTTCCGTTCCTTGGGTTCTCTTGAGTGCATCTTTCACTGTGCGAACTCTGCTGAAAGGGCGTGCACTAGTCTTGGAATGTGGGACAGCTGATTCTGAGGCTTGTGTCGCTAATTGACTGATACTGCGTTTCTACGGGAGGTTGATGGATCGTCCGGAATCGACGTGGAGGCATGATGGTCTTTGTCTCCCTGGTAGTATCCCAACAACAGGTTTCAGGCCCAGATTCACGGCACTTACAGGAGAGTAAGACTGCGACAGACTGCTGTGAGAGGTATGTGGAGAAAAGTAAGGCTTTTCGTTGCCGCGGCAGAGCCTTTGATGTCCGGCTGGCTAATTGGCCTGGGAACCGCGCCAGAGGCTTCATGATTTATGAGCTGCCAAGATAAGGAGTTTTTGAAGGCATAAAGGCTCACGGCTCAAGTAAAACCCTGGAATGGAGTTTTTACAAGCCTCAGATGATGGCCCTCAGTGCCCAAAGTTGAATGCCCACAATTATGAGAACTGGGCAAGTTGCTGTGAGAGCTTGCTGCGACAGTTTGGAGTGTGGCATACTGTGTGTGAAGCCCCTCCAGTTCCTCTGACAGATAGATGGAGGGCCCACGATTCAAGGGCCATAGACATAATAGTCTTATCCGTCTCTCTGGAGGAAATATCAACACTGGCTGGCAACACGACAGCACATCAGATGTGGAATGCTTTGAAAGTAGCCCATCTGCTGGTCATCCCAGCCCAGAGTTTGACTGCATCGGAGGTCCTGGCTGTTTCCCAGATCGAGAGTGATTGCAGGGATGCCGAGGGCACCGGTTGCAAGCTGCAGGGGGAGCTGACTGTGATGTCATCCCAGGCCGCATTCCAGCCTCCAGGGGGAGCCAAGGAGTCGGCAGCTGAGAGCTCTGATTCCCATGAGAGCCAAGGTCATCTTTGCAGAGGCCGGAAGGCCAGAAGTAAACAGAGACAGAACCCTGCAGATGGCCCGAAGCAGAGGGGGGGTGGAAAGCCCACGCCGGTGGAAAACAAGGTTTTGTTTGCTGGCACAGCTTCACCAAAGGCTAAAGGCAAGTTTGATGGCCAGGAGCAGGGGGGCAAGAAGCAGGAGCCCAAGCCAGTGGAAGACAAGGTTCTGTTAGCTGGCACTGCTGCTCCAAAGGCCAAAGCCAGATTTATTGTTGACTCTGGAGCTACTCGCCATTTATCAAAGGATCGACACCTATTTATCTCCTTCACACCTCAAGATGGAGAGATCCACCAGGCTGATGGAAAGACGTTGCAGGAGTCGGGAATGTGAGACTGGCAAGTCTGCACACAACCATCAGAGATGTACTTTATGTTCCAGGTTCTGCAGACAATTTGCTCAGTGTCCCACAGCTGACCGGGCGTGGCTTTGAGATTTCCTTCAAGAAGAGCGTCTGTGTCATCAGGAAAGGCAAAGAGGACATTTTGCATGCAAAGTTTATGGACGGCTTATTCTGTATAACTTATGATGACAATGCTGTTGCTATGTCTAATGTTGATTCTTGTTGTGTTGCACAAACTAACAAAGTTCTTCATGCAGGATGTATTCATGAGGCGCACTGAAGATTTGGTCACATGTCTTGGCAGGCACTGGTTTGAACATCAAGCCCTGTAAGTTTCACATGAAATGTGTATCTTGTGCAGAGAACAAGGTGAAGGTTGCTCCGAATGGCAAGGTGTCTAGCAGACAGGCTTCCAAACCCTATCAGCTAGTCCATGCAGACCTGGTTGGTCCACTTGCGCCCTCTTTGGGTGGAGCAAGGTACTTCATGATTTTAATTGATTCTTTTTCCAGGTACATTCATGTGTTTATGCTCCAACAGAAGTCAGAAGTGTTTCCTAAGTTCAAGGCGTTCTGTGCTTGGTTGGAGAATGCTCACAGTAAACACATTGGCTGTTTGTTTACTGATTGAGGCGGTGAATTCACTTCTCATCAGTTTGAAGCTTTCCTGACTGAGAAGGAAATCCAGCATAGCCTCTCAAGTCCTAAATCTCCATGGGAGAATGGACTTTGTGAGCAAGCAAACAAAACTTTGCTGCAAGGCCTAAAAACCTTGTTGCATGATGCCAATCTCCCTGAAAAATATTGGGGCAAAGCTTTATCGTGCTTCCTTTATTCCCTATAACAGGAGACTGTCATCACCTATTGATTGTACTCCCTATGAGAAGATGTTTGGTAAGAAACCTTACATCAAGCACATGCAAATTTTTGGTTGTGACATGTGGGTCCACACCCCACAGAGCAGCAAGCTTGGGAAGCGTGGGGCACATGGTTTGTTCATAGGGTACGAAAAAGGTTCATACAGGGTATGGATGACTGACTCTAAGTCCATTAAGTTCACAAAGAGTGTTGAGTACAATCCTAAGTGGGGGGAAAATGTGGGAATTTTCCAGAGTTACCCAGAGGAAGATGAAGATGATGTGAAAAAAACAGATAATGTTGAGGTAAAAGAGGAAGCTGAGGATGATGATGATGATCAGAGTTCGGATTCCAGCTCAGTGGGCGGCGCTGCTGCTGGTGTCAGCGACAGTGATGACTCAGCAGACTACAAGAGCGCAAAGGCCTCAGTCAGACCATCTGATGCGTCTGACAATGAACTGGAAGAACCACTGTTCACCATTGGTCACTTTTCTCCTAAGAAGGAGGAGATGAGTGAAGAAGACTTGTGTATAGTACGCAGATCTGAAAGGGCCACCAAAGGCAAACCTCCAAAGAGATTTGCTGATGAGTTTGCTAAGACAGCAACTGCTGTTCTTAGTAGCTCAGAGAAGGTGTGGGAACCTTCAAGCTTCAAAGAGGTTCAGGAGTTAACCTCTAAAGATGCTGAGCCTTGGCTTAATGCTATGAAGGCTGAAGTTGATTGCTTGAATAGGAACCAAACTTGGGAGCTGGTACCAGTAGTCCCAGGAATGAGACTGGTTGGCAGCAAATGGGTCTTCAAGGCCAAGACAGACCAGAATGGCAAGGTTGTCAGACACAAAGCCAGATTGGTTGCCAGAGGTTTTTCACAGGTACCAGGACAGGATTACCACGAGACCTACTCACCCACCGTCAAGTATGAGAGCATTCGGCTAATGCTCAAGATTGCTGCAGAGGAGAAACTGCACGTTTCCCATCACGACATTAATACAGCTTTTTTGTATGGGGTTTTGGGGGAGGAGCTGTATATGCTTCCACCTGATGGAATGCAGATACAGAAGGGAATGGTCTGTAAACTACGGAAATCCTTATATGGTCTCAAGCAGAGTGCCAGGTGTTGGAACACAAAACTCACTGAGACATTGCTTTCTCTAGGTTTTCACCAGGGCAAAGCTGATCCATGTGTGTTTGTCAAGGAGGAGGGACAAAACAAACTGTATTGTTTATGTTTTGTTGATGATCTTCTGATGTTTTGGAAGAATCAGGCTTTGTACCAAAGCACCCTAGCTCAGCTGAAGGAGCACTTTGACATGAAGGATCTTGGTGAGGTATCCAACTATCTTTCTTTGCAGGTGGAGAGGGACCAAGCAGGTAATTTTCTGGTACACCAAACACAGAAAATTGCTGATGTATTAACCAGGTTAAATTTGGTTGATGCAAACCCAGCAGACACACCGATGGTGACAGGTTATCAGGTAGATAGTACTGCTGAAGCGTTTTTGTTTTTTTTAAAGATATTTATTAAGGTTTTCACAGTATTACAAAATGAAAAAAGAAAAAAAGAAAAAATACAAAATAAAAATAGTTAAAAACAATTCAATCTTTCCATTACTTATCTTTCATTTGCTTGTTTCCGGACCTCCTCATACCTCCCTTTTTTGTATTCCAGTTCAATTTATTAGTTCAGCAAATCCTTTCCCTCTTTGTTTTATCCTGATCTTTAATCTTAGTATCTTATAGCATTAAATTTTTACCTGTTAAAAATCCATTTTTTCATATTCATTTATACCATTACAGCTAAAAACCACTTAACTTCAATCCAACATCATTCTAACATTCATTGATTTTGCAGTATTTCTGTAAATAGTCTTTAAATTTCTTCCAATCTTCTTCCACCGACTCTTCTCCCTGGTCACGGATTCTGCCAGTCATTTCCGCCAGTTCCATATAGTCCATCACCTTCATCTGCCATTCTTCCAGAGTGGGTAGGTCTTGTGTCTTCCAGTACTTTGCAATAAGTATTCTTGCTGCTGTTGTAGCATACATAAAGAAAGTTCTATCCTTCTTTAACACCAATTGGCCGACTATGCCCAGGAGAAAGGCCTCTGGTTTTTTCAAGAAGGCATATTTAAATACCTTTTTCAATTCATTATAAATCATCTCCCAGAAAGCCTTAATCCTTGGGCACGTCCACCAAAGGTGAAAGAATGTACCTTCAGTTTCTTTACATTTCCAACATTTGTTATCGGGCAAATGATAGATTTTTGCAAGCTTGACTGGGGTCATGTACCACCTGTATATCATTTTCATAATATTCTCTCTTAAGGCATTGCATGCCGTAAACTTCATACCTGTGGTCCATAACTGTTTCTGAGAGAGGAAGAGAGGAAGAGAGAGTACTGAGCTTTACTTACACTTCGGAATTCCACGCAGCTGGCGGGGTACAGCGGGGGCAGTAAATTAATGTTAACATCACCGGAGGGCTTTCAACGCCGTCGGGAAGTATTACTACATAGTCTCTTCAGCAAGTAAGATGGCGGTTCAAGCCAGATAGGATTTCATCGCCCTCCTCCCCTCAACGTTTCATCTGCCACGGTCGTTGTAAGTAATGCCGCTGTAATAATCTATTTCATCTACCCCCCTCTATCTCTGACCGTTAGATCGTGAACTGTCGGAAAGTCTGGCACGCAGTGGACCACAGCCACTTCTAATTAATTAACTAGACGTGGAGCTTCTGGGGAGAGCGTTATTTAACTAGAGGAGTGCTAATTCCAGCTTGTCTAACTGGGACTAAGCGGTGCTATCTTCACATCCACATATCCCACATAGCTCCATATACTCTACGGAGATGGTGCTCACTAGACAGAAATGTAAAGTTCTGGGGGTCTCCCCAACGCAGAGGGTTGAATCACCATCAGTAACCTCGCAGACGAAAATTTTGCATTATTTTAAGCCTAAAACAAAAACGCCCATATGCTCCGAGTCCCCACTTCTCCACGACTGGTCTATTGACCGAACATGCTATGGGAAGGAACCTGATATTGGTGAGGAGAGAGAGGGAATCAGTCTGGCAATGGAGATGGCTCAGATAGTCTCCCAATCTAGTGCTACCGACACTTTCGTAGAACATGATCAAGAACGAAATTTGAAACGCCTGGAAGTCACACTAGATGGACTAGTCAATGCAGCCAGCCCCAGCGAAAAGGCTAGGATGGAATCCTCAAGTGCGACGAGAACAGAAGAAAATCCAAGTCAGCTAAAAGGAGCCTGCTGGGACACAGATAGCAATATCTGTATCCTGATTGGGCTTTTCAATGAAATGATGAAAGAATGTCAAATGCACATAAGTAAAGAATTAGGACCAATTAGGAACTTTCTTACGGAATGCATGGGTTTGCTAGTAAGCCTGACAGAGCTCATCAGGAAGGGAGCAATTTCACACACCCCCACTCCAGCGGCTGAAATTCCAACAGAGCCCAGTATCTCAGAGAAGGTCCCAAAGAGAGCCACGCCCATGTCTACCAACAGTCGAGTCACACACCCCTCACCTAAAAAGAAACATCGCCACCAAAGAATACACCCACTTCACAAGAAGAAGTCTAAAAACATAAAAGTGGGAAGGCGGACTAAGAGTTATACACAAACTAAGAAATTGAATTTTTCTAAGTTATTCAAGCCTTCTGCCTTACTTCAGGGCAGATTTGAGGGTAAACCATACACAGCACGGGTCTGCCCTTGTGGCTCGTTGGAAGTTGAAACTGCTTCACATGTACTATTACGTTGTCGTCTTTATGAGGATATACGTTTGACTTTTATTACACCTGTTTTGCAAAAGTCCAGGAAAGAATCGGAACACCATAGTTTAAAATTACTGTTAGAGGACAAGAATCCCAAGACTACATTAAATGTAGCCAAATTCTGTGCGTCTGCAATTAATCGCAGGAAGCAAGTGGTATCCCATAATGACCAAACCCCCAAATGTTAATTATAGGGGGCACGCTAATAATTAACTTTAATTTTTTATATTTAAATCCTTGTTATATTCATATTGTCCTCTGTATTTCTGATATTTTTTTTATGATCTGTGATATTGTGTGTGTTGACGCTGGTCTGTGACCGTATTAATAAATTCATTCATAAATTCATTCATACCTGTGGTCCATAACTGTTCCCAGTCAGCCATCATTATGTTATGTCCAACATCTTGTGCCCATTTAATCATAGCAGATTTCACCGTTTCATCCTGAGTATTCCATTTCAACAGCAAGTTATACATCTTTGACAAAATCTTGGTTTTGGGTTCTAATAGTTCTGTTTCTAATTTTGATTTTTCCACCTGGAAGCCAATTTTGTTGTCCAAATTATATGCCTCCATTATCTGATAATAATGAAGCCAATCTCGCACTTTGTTTTTTAATTTCTCAAAACTCTGCAGTTTCAGTCTATCTCCATCTTGTTCCAAAATTTCCCAATATTTCGGCCATTTGACCTCCATATTGAGCTTTTTCTGAGCTTTCGCTTCCATTGGTGACAGCCACCTTGGGGTTTTATTTTCCAATAAATCCTTGTATCTTATCCAAACATTAAACAATGCTTTCCTGACAATATGGTTTTTGAATGCTTTAAATACATTGTTAAAACCTTCTAAATCCAAAATGTCTGTGTTTTCAAGGAGCAGCCATTCTTTCAACCAGCAAAAAGCTGCTGATTCATAGTAAAGTTTAAAGTCTGGCAGGGCAAATCCACCTCTTTCCTTTGCATCTGTTAGTATTTTAAATTTTATTCTAGGCTTCTTGCCCTGCCAGACAAATCTAGAAATATCTCTCTGCCACCTCTTGAAACAGTCCATTTTGTCCACAATTTGCAATGTTTGAAACAAAAACAACATTCTAGGCAATACGACCCAGCAGTGAAAGCTTCAAATTTGACCAAATTTCTAAATCTTTTTTCACTTCAGCCCAGCATTTTTCATAGTTGTCTTTAAATAAATTCCCATTTTTTGCTGTCATATTAATCCCCAGGTATTTGACTTTCTTGACCACTGTTAAACCTTTCTCATTCTGAAACCTCTCTCTCTCAATTGGTGTTAAGTTTTTCTCTAAAACCTTGGTTTTTAACTTATTCAGTTTGAACCCTGCAACCTGACCAAATTCTTGAATCAGTTCTAAAACCCTTTTGGTACTAGATTCTGGCTCCTGTAACGTCAATACCAAATCATCTGCAAATGCTCTCAATTTGTACTGTTTGGCTCCGACTTGTATCCCTTTAACCAACTGGTCCCTTCTCTGCTGAAGCGTTTTTTGACACTACACTGTACAGATGCATTCTAGGCAAGCTGAATTTCATTGCTAGATGTTCAAGACCTGACATAGCTGTAAGCACTAACCTGCTTAGCAGACATGCTAACAATCCTACTGTTCAGGATTGGAAAGCTCTGAAGCACATAGCCCGCTATTTGAAAGGGACTTTGCACTACAGGCTGAGGTTCACCAGTCAGAAGACTGGAGGTCTTGAAATCTTTGCAGATGCTAGTTTTGGAAGTGACACCACGGATGGTACAAGCACTTCTGGAGTATGCTACATGTACAACCACTGTCTGTTTGACTGGCTGTGCAAGAAGCAGACAACAATGCTCTGTCATTTTCACTCATGGATTGTGAATGGTTGATGCAACTGTTTCAGGACATCAGAATTTCTGTGAAATGTCCTATACAAGTGTATCAAGACAATAGATCCTGTTTGGCTTTGCTGAACTCAGAGAGTTGCAAGCAAAGAACCAAGTACTTGCAGATTAAGCTACATCGTGAAAGAGAGTGTATTCAGAAAGGATTCATTCAGGTGTCCTACATGCCAGGAAATGAAATTCCTGCTGATCTGTTGTCTAAGGTTGTTAACAGAGAACAGCTTAAGGTTTATGTACAGAGGTTGCAATTGGGTTGAACCGCAGGTACTATAGGTTACACGGAAAGGGGGAGGATGTTAGGATATTTCCGTTCCACCTTAAAAAGGGAGCAGGTTGTTGTATCACAGCCTGCGTATTTCCTGTTCACAGGAAGTTTCTCTTTTGTATATAGCTGTTGTTTTTCTCTCTGTGTGTCTGGACATCGAAGCAGGCAGTCATGTTTTTTTCTTTGTTCTGACCAACGCTGAATAAAGTTGTAAATAATGCTAAAAAAAAAAAAAAAAAGGATTCCCATGAGCCCCCTCACTCATGGGAATCAGAGCTCTCAGCTGCCGACTCCTTGGCTCCCCCTGGAGGCTGGAATGCTGCCTGGGATGACAATTTCACCCCTCCCATTGCAAGAATCTGCTGATTTTCCAGAGAGGAGGGGGCGGATTGTGCTTGCTACTTATTCTGCTCCAGCCTCACTTCAAAGGGGGAGACTGAGTGTTATCTCTGTATAGATAAGGTCGCTGCAGAAAGCAGCTGTAACAGTCAGTGCAGTCCAGCGTCTCCATTTATATAGTTTGTATAGTACAGTAGCTGTAGTGAATAAAAGAAGATATTCTTCAGCGCTGTCGTCCGAGTGATTTATGCTCTGCTGTATTCTGCTGTGCATGACTGTCTTCTGGAAGTGAGTTCGGTGCTCACAGCTCTGAGTTGTGAGTCCACAGCACTTAGACCTGTTCCTGCAGAAGAAGGTCTCTGGAAGTGCTACCCCAGCTCGCCTGGCCCAGTCGGGGCTGAAGTGGTTGAGCCCAGTCGGTGGCACTGGCTCAAAGGCGAAGCTGACGATTTGGACAGTGCTTGGGAGCTTCACCTGTGTTGCAGGTGGGAAGGGGAACAAGGGCTCTGGTCCCCCATGGCTGACACAGCTCGGATGGCCAACTTTGCCACTTCCACTACTTAAGGCAGTTGACCCCCCCCCCCCGCACTGGAGTTGCTGGGAAATTGCAGCAGTCTTTCCTGGTGTGGCCCAGGGCCTGTAGGGTATGGACCAGCTGATGACCTAGGCCTTCCACATGGTTCTTAGCACTGAGCAGGGCTCCTGGACCTGGAAGGGACCCCTAGGGTCATCTAGGCCAACCCCTTGCAATGCATGAATCTCAACTAAAGTATTCATGACTGATGGTTGTCCAACCTCTGCTTGAAAGCCTCCAAGGGAGGAGAGTCCACAATTTCCCAAGGAAGTCTGTTTCACTGTCAAACAGCTCTTACTCTCAGTCTTCTCTTTTCCAGGCTAAACATACCCAGCTTGTGGTCTACGATTACAATGTCTCAGTGCTCAAGGGAGACACAGTATTGTGTTTTATTCTACCTTGTCTTCTCATCCCCACCCCCATAAATTGAACAGGTATTCCATCTGGTAGAATTGTTCCAAAATTCATTGCAGTATACCCTCGAGGGTGCATTCTGGAGCCATAGGAACACAGAAAGCTGCCTTCCACTGAATCAGACCATTAGTTCCCCTATCTCACTATTGTCTACACTGACTGAACCTGGGAAGCAGAGGCTGCATCACTGAATGACACCCCTTCCCCCATTTTCCTCATCTCAGTCACTGAAGCAGATGCCAGCCCTAGCATATGAATATCAATATGGCAGTCTTATATACACACACTTTGGAGTTAGGCTTATTGAAGTCAATGGGACATACATCTGAATAAACACAGAGGAGCGGAAGTGGGCTTCACAGCACTTAAAAATGGAGCCCAAAACCATTGCACCCTTTGCTGCTTTTCATCTGCCTTTGACCCAAGCCCCTTGTGTTACTGCAAGATCCTTTGAAAATACTTTCTTCTTTTAAATAAAAAAAACCCCTAACTGTGTAAATGCTTTCTCATGTGATCCTTCTGATGTGCCAGTTAGAGTTACCATATAATGTTTCTTCTGGGGAATGCGAGGGGTCTGAAAAGGAAATGTTTTGAGCAAGTAGCTAGGGTGAGGATATTGTAGCCAATATCTCAGCTCTCTATCTGTCAGACACAATTTTCGTTGGGGGAGTCAGATTGAAAGAGATGGGTCCAAGGAACTGCTCTTTAAGGAAATTAAATTATTGTCCTGATAACGTTGCAAACTGTGACTAGAAAGGCTGCATGCTTCACGACACAGAAGTATTCTCCCATACAAAGCTGAGAAAGATGAATTGTGCTGGCTTCAAACCTAACTCCCACCTACTGAGTGTTGGGAAATAAACTACTGGAGCAAAATCAGAACACCCAAAATGACAACGGAGATGCTTCTTTAGCTTATTTAATACTCCTACGTAGCCGGGGGCATCTACTTCCACATTGGCATTTTGCAGGAATAGGGTATGACAGTAGTTTTATGTTTATCCTGTCAACATCCTACTTGATCTTTCTGATCTTGATCTTTTGTGTGCCTCATTCTTCCTCCCACCGTTACTTAACTTGCCCTTGTAAAACTCGTGAGCGGGGACTTCCGGTTGGCTCGCCCGATATGGCGGACAGGAGCTCTTTCACAGAAAGGGCGCCGGTGCTTTGAAGGCAGGGGAGAACCGCTAGAGCACTGCGGTACCCTGAAAACCCTCAGATCGAGCGTTCTGAGGACCTGGTGTTCCTGCGGGTGTCTGGAATGACTCCCCCGCTCCCCGGTAAGCTCCAAAAAGAGTGCCAAGTGTGAGCAGGGTTGGAGATGGTGGCACCTGGGAATCAACTCACTTCCTTCATTGCATGAAGCTCTGAGTCTGGCGATCATGAGCGGCCAATTCCTCCAAAGAAAATTTGATTGGGAATTCATGAGTAAAAGGACATAAATTTGATCTCTTAATTTGGAAGGAAAGGGATTTAAAAACGGAGGTCGGTCCCTTCCACTGAATGAAAGTGAAAGCAGCTATCGTAACCAAAAGCCACAAATTAAAACTTCATTTTTTCAGAAAACTTTCAAGTAAACTTAGATCCCCCCTTCTAGCAGGGGGAAGGGGGTAAAAAGATCAAAAATTAACTTCCCTGCTGAAAACTGCTTGAACTGTTATATCTTCTTTGTGGAAGCGGACTCCCTGGTGGGGGGAGGCTAGACTCCATTGTGACGTCATAAAGGAATCAGATACTTTTCAACTTTCGTTTTCCCCTTTGGGAAAAACAAAGTAACTACAGGGGCCAGAACTCTAAAAACACTATTAACAGTATCTTTACCCTCGGATATAAATTATAACTTTGTAACGAAACTCTTGGGAACTTACTTAAAGGAGTAAAAAGAGGATAAAAAAGACTGAGGAAAGGAGAGACTCTTATTTTGCAGCGGGACTATTGAAGAGGCTGGGAAGGGAACTTGTTTGCTTCACTATCTCCCCCTTGTGACTGAGGCTGACCTTGGGGAAAATAAAAAATAAAGCATGGATGCGGGAGACAAAGGAGAGAAGGCAGAAAGAC